TTATGTCGAAAACGAACTTTACAACTTTGGTAGGGGGGAGGAGGATTGGGTGGAGGGGCGGGGGAGGATGGGAAGGGATGGGAAGAGGAAACAAAGGAGGAGGCTACAATGCTTGATAAGAAATGTACTCATTATCTTGCCCATGAAATTGTAACCCCTCTGTACAGTATTTTCACAATAAAAAAAATAAAAAATAAAAAAAATTACAAATTCGATACAGGAACTGAAACCGCCAGACTCAGTAGTCCTGTATAAGACTCTTTGCAGCAGCAGAGCGCCAGAGGCTCACATCTGTAATCCTAGCTACTCACACTGAGATCTGAGGATTGAGGTTTGGAGCCAGAAAAGTCCATGAGACTTTTCAAAAAGCCAGAAGTGGAGTTGTGGCTCAAGCAGTAGAGAGTGCCCTGAGTTCAAGTCCCTATACCAACACACACACACACACACACACACACCACATGCCTAGCACACACACCTCACATGCAAACACAGCACACACACCCCACATGCACACACAAATAGTACACATGCACCTCACATACACACACACACCACATGCCTAGCACACACATTTCACATGCAAACACATACAGCACACACACCCCACATGCACACACAAATAGTACAGATGTAAAACACACACACACACACACACTTCACATATATACACACATGCACACACCCCTGTAAGAGGAGTACTGAGCAGCATTAGGAAGCTCACTTGTGGTGCCAGCCTTTGGCTAGCTGGAAGGTGGCTCCGTCAGGGTGAACTATGCAGAAAGCACTGTGAGTTTACCCCCCCCCCAGCACACACACACAGCGCGCACGCCAGGCGCCCCCAGGCCTGCACAGCACGCCACCAGCCGCACCAGGCCGCAGTTGGAGGCAGACGCGCCCGAGGGCGCGCGGCCGCGGCCCGGCCCGCCGGACTCCCTCCACCCCTCGCTCGGAGCTCCGTCTCCCCCAAGTACCTGGGGTGCTGGCACCCGCGGCCTGCAGGCTGCGCCCCAGGCCCGGCGGCGGACTCAGCACCGACCGGGACAGACGCTGGGGGCTGACACTGCTGTCGCCCCCGCTGGCTGACCTCGAGTCTGGGCTAGATTCGGAGCGCCGCCGTTTCCCACTCCGACGCGGAAGATCCATGGCACACAAGCCTTTCTTTGTGGTTCAAGACACGACACTGCAGTCCCAGCAGCTTCCCAAGGCGGAGAAAGCCCGCGCGGTGACAGGTGTAGCCGCCATCTTCCCGCCACGGCTTTCAAACTCAGTCCTCCCAGCTCGCCCCGGAACCATAGAGTTCCGGTGGCCAGAGTAACCCGGAAACCATAAAGTCTGGGGGGGGGGAAGAGCGGCTCGCGCCGGAGTCTGACTTCCGGCCTCCCAGCTCCGGGGCTGGGCAGGAAGAGAGCGCTAGGGTCCCTCCCTGGTAAGTGGAAGGAGCTTCAAACGCATTTGTCAACAAGCGGGCTTAAAAGGAGCCTTCCTTGGTATGCATTTATGAGTTGAATGGAACACGTATCCTGACCCTTCAAGGGTAGTTTAATGTGTTTTCTTTTTTCAAAAGTTACTCCAGGTTGTGTGTGCAAATCATCCTACAGACCGGGCGCCGGTGGCTCACGCCTGTAATCCTAGCTACTCAGGAGGCTGAGATCTGAGGATCGCGGTTCGAAGCCAGCCCGGGCAGAAAAGTTCGCGGGAGACTCTCATCTCCAATTAACCACTCAAAAACCGGAAGTGGCGCTGTGGCTCCAGGGCTAGAGCACTCGCCTTGAGCACGAAGAGGCTGTGGGACAGTGCCCAGGCCCTGGGTTCAAGCCCCACAACCAACCAAAAAACAAAACAAAAAGATTCTACAGGATAACTTTGGATTTCTGGTGGAGCCTAATTTGCCCTTCCTTCTCTCCTAAGTGTATATGATGATGGTAGGGCGGGAACGACTTCAGTCTCCAACTTCTGTTTCAGTTTGGTGCCCTGGAAAAAGTTGGGATTGGGGATCAGGGATTGGGGACCCTTCTGGATAGCCGTAAGAAAGGAGGTGTGAAGGTGTCTGAAGGATCCTCCTGAGCCAAGACTTTACTGATGGGTTTGTGCTCTGCCTTTTGCCAGAAGCCAGTGCCTTATGGGCTTCAATTACTACCTGCCTGTTCATTTCACCAAGTAAGCCTTGTTTGTGACCAGTCCCCTGACCTGAAGAGATTGAGCTATTCCAGAGCCCTAACAGAAGGAAAAAAAAGAAGACAATACTCTAAAGTCCCGCCAGATGGAGACATTACTCCAGGAAAGAAACATTTTGTAGTTGTCTTTTATGTACTTATTCACTCAACAGCTTCTGCTGTGAATTAGGTCCTGGGGCATATGACAGTGAAGTTGTGTGAAAGAGAAAGAACTTAGAGAAGACAAGATACTGACCAAATAAATTAATAATTTTAAATTTTTAAGTATTTGCTCAGAGAGAAATGAATAGACCTATCAGAGGAATAAAGGAATCCTAACTTAGATTATGGTCATGAAAACAATAAAGGCTAAGAGGTAACTCTTGTATTTAGAGGAGAAAGAAGGGGAAATACAGGAAATGAAACCGGGCAATGATTCAGACATCTGAGTGGTCTCTTGGAGATGTATAGAGTGAGTCCACAGCTTTCCAGGACCACTCTCTGACACTGGTTAACTCTGTTTCATCACTTCTAGATGATTAGAAAGGTGGTTGATGTAAAGTAAATAGTTGAATTTTTTAGAAATCACAACTTACACTCATTCTGTATGCACAGAACTTGTAACCTCCCCCATTCAGCAGAATCCTACATTCCTATCTACCAACTTGGCAGAAAGTACTAGTATATTATTTATGTCTGACTTAAGGTTTGTGCTTTAGGGGAAAGGTCATCTTTGATTTTCATCTTTCATCTTTTCATCCACTCTGTTCCTATTAAATGTTTTTTTCTCTCCATTTCTTTCAACTCTTTGCTCTTCTACCTTTTTCACTTTTCCAGATGTTTTTGCTAAAGCCCTCCCCCCTTTTTTTTTTCTGTCTGCCTCTATTTCAATGGGTTTCTGCTTAGGAAGTTTTGTTATTTTGCTGTTTTGTTTTGGGGGCTAGTGGTTTGTTTGTTTTGAGCCAGTGTTCTACTATCCTCACTATCCTCACACTCATCTCAATCTCATGATGCTGCCTCTACCTCCCAGTGCTGGAGTTAAAACCTGGCTAAAATATCAGCAATGTTTTGGTTTGTTTGGTTTTCTTCAGTGTTGGTGATCATGCCTAGGGCTTCCTGTGTACTAGGCAAGCACTCCACCACTAAGCCACACTCTCAGGCCCTAAGCTATTTTACAGTTTCTCTGTGTGTTATGGTTTAAATATGTTTTCCAAATTTATGTGTTAGACATTTAGAACCTAAGTTCATGGGTATTGAATGATATTTAGAGTTACGGCCTCTAGGATGTGATTAGGATTAGAGAAGGTCATCAGGATAGAGCAGTGGGCTTGATCTCCACTACTTCCCCTCCAAAAAGTTGAATGTTCGTACGATACAGCAGGTCCATTCCTGGCTATATACCAAAAGAATTGGATACAAGATCTCAGAGATACTTATACATTCATGATCATAACAGACAAAAGATGGAAGCAACCCTAGCATTCACCAATGGATGAAGGTATAACAAAGTAAAAAAGAGAACATTTCTGAACCTGGCAACAGCATAGGTGAACCTTAAGGACATCATGCTAAGTGAAATTGATCAGAAAAGAACAAATGCATGCCCGATTCTTTTCATAGCCAACTTAGGGGAATAGCCCAGATTCTATACAACCAATGAATGGATCAAGAAAATGTGATTATATATTTTTTTATTTATTTATATTATGGAATTTTATTCATCTATCAGGAAGAATAATATATCATTTGTAGGGAAATGGATGGACCTGGAAAAAGAAAACCCTATTGAGTGAAGTAAACCAGGATTAAAAACACAAGAGCACATGTTTTCTCTCATGTGAATGTTAGACCTAAAATATAGACATATGTAAATGTACACAACAATATATATATACATATATATACACCCATACACATATACACATACACACTTATATATGTGTGTTATATGTATATATCTATATATGACTAAAGTATAGTATATGCGGAATGAGACTCTGCTGTAACCCCTTTGAACAATTAACAGATGGTTTAACAAAATGAGTATCAAGAAGTTGAAACATGTCTTGAGGAAAAGGAGTGATGGTGGACAAATGGAAAGAGGAATGGTGGGTGAATACAGTCAGAACATACAGTATACATATGTGGACATGGAAGTAGGAAATGGGATGGGGTGGGGGAAATGATGGAAGGAAGACTTTAAGATGCATTGTACATATTAATACACATATTAATTGAAACCCCTTGTACAAGTATTTGAAGATAATTTTAAAAATGAAAACAATAAAGGCATGCAGCTCCACACCAGCCTTCTTTTTATTTTTTTAAGCACAGTTACCAGTATCTACAGCAATGTGATACCTGCATGCAGTTTCACTCATCTTGTTATCTGCTGCCATAACAGTTAATATAGTACCATGTATATTGTGGTTAGTGACCAGATAGTTACTGAAAGAGATGAAAAGCTCTTCCCAGGAAGACTTAATAGATGGAACTTAGGACTTAGGGCTATGTAACATACTTCTAAACAACACAACAACAACAACAACAAACTTTATCACTACACCTCACAATAGTCATAGTCAGAAGAATTGTAACACAGACATATTAGCTGCCAGAGAAACATACCAAGAACTGAGTAAAGAGAAGGAAGTCAAGAACAGTCATGTGTGTGTTGAACATTGAAGGTCTGTGCCCATTAGCCAGTGCTGGTTAATATATCTCAGTAGTTTAAAATAAAAAGCACCTGCCGTTCTGGAGTCAGCTAGCCAGCTGGATAATGTGGACCATGGTAGGTTCTCCTGCATGTTTGTGGGTCGGCTGGCTGTTGAACGTGTTTAAAATAGCTTCAGTTGGGGAATGTGAGCTCCTCTTTACATGGTCTCTTGTGCTCCAACAGCTGGATTGGTCTTGTTGAGAGCAACAGAGCTGGAGTGTGCAGGGCCTCTGGAGGCCAGCACCCAGCACTTCCACTGTCATTCTCTATGGCTTAGGAAGGCGTGACTGGACATGAAAGTAGGACAAAGAGAAAGGCAAGACAGAAAAACGCAGGTCTCAGAGCAATCATCTACAAAACAACTCCACAAGGTAAAGCTGTTGTGGGATTGGGGTTTTTTTTTCATGTTATAAATGTAAAAACTGAGACTCTATAAACAGACATTTACATATATCCAAACATCTAATAAATAAAAATATGAGTTCTCTAAGATTGTAGCAGCCTAGATAGTCAACTAGCTGGAGTATGGTCTATTTCCAAATTCAAATGTATTTTCTCTGCCCTTTTGCCATCTTTCACAATAAAGTCACACTCAAATATACTGTATCTCACTTTATGTATTAATAATGTCACAACACATTACAGGAGGTTTACCTAGCTAATAAAACACTTTCAATCTTCCAAAGATAGACTGAGTTTTAAAAATTATTTTTGAGGGCTGGGAATGTGGCTTAGTGGTAGAGTGCTTGCCTAGCATGCCTGAAACCCTGGGTTCAATTCCTCAGTACCACATACACAGAAAAAGCCAAAAGTGGTGCTGTGGCTCAAGTGGTAGAGTGCTAACCTTGTGCAAAAGGAAGCTCAGGGAAATAATGCAGCAATAAACATAGTTGTGCTGGTAGCTTTAGATATGGAACCAATCCAGATGCCCCTCAGTAGATGAATGGATCAAGAAAATGTGGTATATATACACAATGGAATTCTATGCCTCCATCAGAAAGAATGACATTTCCCCATTTGTTAGGAAATGGAAAGGCTTGGAAAAAATTATATTAAGTGAAGTAAGCCAAGCCCAAAGAAACATAGGTCCCATGGTTTCCCTTATTTGCAATATCTAGTATATGTATGAGTCAAGCAGAAAAGGTCAGATAATGTGATGTTAGGAAAATGAACCCTTAGATATGTATTTAAATGTTTTTTTCTTTCATGCATTTGTTTCTAACGCATTTATAAGATTATTTCTTTGTTGCTTTGTATGTCCCTCCCCCACAGTATAACCCCTGCTTTCACTATGTTTGATGTCGGTAAAATTTGTGGAGGAGATGGGGAAAACAAGTCGTTTAAGGATACAGGTGGACCCATTGCAACTATGAGAAGTACAAGTTGTCATGTCGAAAACGAACTTTACAATTTTGTGGGGGGGGGGGGGGGGAGGATTGTAGGGGGAGGTTGGGAAGAGATGTGAAGGGAAAAAAAAGGAGGAGGCTGCAATGCTTGATAAGAAATGTACTCATTATCTTGCCCATGTAATTGTAACCCCTCTGTACATTATGTTCACAAAAAATTAAAATTAAAAAAAACAAAGAATATAACACATATTGACATATAAAAAAAAGAAGAAGAAGAAGAAGAAGCTCAGGGATAGGGCCCAGGCCCTGAGTTCAAGCCCCAAGACTGACAAAATATATATGTATTTTTGAAAGTATTGGAGTTTGAACTGTAAAATCATTTTTTTCGGGGGGTGGCCGGTCGTGTGGTTTGAACTCTGGGCCTGGGTGCTGTCCCTCAGCTCTTCAGCTCAATGCTAAGCATTCTACCACTTCAGCCACAGTGCCACTTCCGGTTTTCTGAGTGGTTTATTGGAGATAAAAGAGTCTCATAGACTTTCCTGCCCGGGCTGGCTTTGAACCATGATCCTCAGATCTCAGCCTCCTGAGTAGCTAGGATTACAAGCGTGATCCACCGACTCCTGGGAAATAATTTTTTAAGGGGTGTGAGGGTATAGCTCGGTAGTAGGGTGCCCCTTTTCCTAACACGAATGAAGCCCTGGGTTCCATCACTGGGGCGAAGAGAAAGAAAGGAAGAGGAAATAAGGGGAGAGAAGAAGCAGGTGAGGAAGGGAAGAGGAGCTAAAGACCAGCCCATGTTATTGGGACTCTTATCTTAAAAAGCAAGCTAGGCTGAGCACAGTGGATCACTCCTGTAATCCATCTATTCAGAAAGCAGATGAGGAGGCCAGCCAGAGCAGAATGAAGAGATATTGAGATCCCATCTCAACAAACTAGTAGTGACATACCCCCATCTATGTGGGAGGTATGTTTGGGAGGCTTTGGGTCCCAAAGCATCCTAGAGAGAATTATGACCTTATCTGAAAAATAAAAGCAAAAGGATAGGAGCATGTAGAGGAAGAGGAGAAGTAGCAGAGTGGTCCTGGTAGGGCACAAGCTACGCATGTGCAAAGCCTGTCCGCGCATAGGGAAAGCCTAGTTCAAAACCTCAAAGTAGCCAGAAAAACAAGTCAGGTCATACATGAGGACCAGCAGTCATGGGTCAGAGAGAGACATGGGTGTAAGATCAAAATGTATTTCTAAATTTAAAAAAAGGAAGGAAAAGGAATTCCTCAGGTATTCTTAATTTCTCTTCCTAATTATGCTAATCAGCTCATTGCAATCCAAAAAAGTTTCTGATGAGGGGCTGGGAAGGTGGCTCAGTGGTAGAGCACTTGCCTTGCATGCCTGAGGCCCTGGGTTCGATTCCTCAGCACCACATAAGCAAAAAGAAAAATGCCGGAAGTGGCGCTGTGGTTCAAGTGGTAGAGCGCTAGCCTTGAGCTGAAGAGCTGAGGGACAGCACTCAGGCCCAGAGTTCAGGCCCCACAACTGGACCCCCCCCCCCCAAAAAAAAAAGTTTCTGATGCTGTGGCTCCAGTGGTAGAGCGCTAGCCTTGAGCTGAAGAGCTGAGGGACAGCGCCCAGGCCCAGAGTTCAGACCCCACAACTGGACCCAAAAAAAAAAAAAAGTTTCTGATGAGAGGTTGATTAGAACATTTTTGCTCATTAGCCCTGTTTTAGAGATTATTTCATACACATTGTGTACATTTCATACAGATGTATTCTTAAATATTCAGTTATTTTGCAGTTATTGTGCATTTGCTCTTTCAGAATGTAATCGGTGGTTGTTGTTGTGCCAGTCCTGAGGCTTGAACTCAGAGCCTGGGTGCTATCCCTGAGCTTTCTTTTCTTTTTGTTCTTTCTCAAGTCTAGCATTCTATCACTTGAACCACAGTTCCACTTAAGGCTTTTTGGTGATTAATAGGAGATAAGAGTCTCATGGACTATTTAGCCTGGGCTTTGAACCACAATCCTCAGCTTCCTGAGTAACTAGAATAACAGGCATGAGCCACTGGCACCTGGCCAGAATGTAATTCTGGTTTCAAAATGTATCCCAAGCTGGCCTTGAACTCTCCCTCAGTTCTTATACTAAAGCCTGCCATTACAGGCATGTATCACCACACAGACCTCAGAATGTAATGCTGACATTACTTTTTATATTTGACTTAAATTAGCCATTAATGATGTGTGTGTGCTGCTATTGGGGGCTTGACTTCAGGACCTGGGTATCCTCCCTTGCCTTTTTCATTCAAGTCTGGTGCTCTACCACTTGAATCAAAGCTGGTACTCTACCACTTGGCCATTTAGTGGTTGAGTGGATATAAGAGTCTTAGACTTTCCTTTGAACCACAATCCTTAGACCTGAGCCTACTGAGTAGTTCAGATTACAGGCATGAACCACCAGTGCCCAACAATAAATGTATCCTAATCTTACATTATTCAAATGTATTGAGCTGGGTTTCTTTGTGATTAGTTTTTGTCTTGAGACAGGGTATTGCTTTATAGCCTGGCTAGTCTGGGACTTGAAATCCTCCAGAGTCAGGTTCCCAAGTGTTAGCATTGTGGGCATAGATACCATGTGCACACATTGTAGGCATAGATACCATGCCCACACACACGAGCTGTTTTATATAACATTTTCAGCAGATTTTTCAAGATGAACCTTGCTTATCTTCTGTAATGAGTAACACTTTGACTCTGCTATTCTACTGCTTTTCAATTATTTTGTTATATTTACTAGGTACCCCCAACAAATGCATAATGCTGCATAGCACCTGAATGCAGGACATCTTTTGCCATCTATATGAATTGATGGAAGTGCTTTCAATGTTTTCCCATTAAGTATTTCCATTAAGTATTTTCCCATTAAGTATTCCCCATTAAGTATTTGGCTGCAGAACTCATTTTTGGTTAAGGAATTGCCGTCTATTCATAATTTGCCCAAATTTCCATCAGAAATAAGTTGAATTTCTAAATAACTTGTCTCATTCATAGGAAGGGTGATTGCAAAGTTCAAGTAAAATAGGCCAACTAAAAGTGACTAAACACCTGTGTGTTGATTTGGTCAAGATGGTTTTTACTGGAATAGAATCAGGACTTCAGTGAGAAATACCAGCCATGTATGTTCCACGTTCATTCTTCTTGTATTCTTGTATAGGTACTTCTTTGTCTAACAATGTGAAATAGATTTATTCCTCTAGCAGTGTTTCTCATGGTCTTTGCCTTCCAAGATGATGATATAGTCAATTGGGATTTTTTTAAACTTCATCTCTAAAACTCTTCACTAGCTTAAAAAAATTCTAGAATAGGGCTGGGAAGGTGGCTCAGTGGTAGAGCGCTTGCTTTGCATGCCTGAGGCCCTGGGTTCGATTCCTCAGCACCACATAAGCAAAAAGAAAAAAGCCAGAAGTGGCGCTGTGGCTCAAGTGGTAGAGCGCTAGCCTTGAGCTGAAGAGCTGAGGGACAGCACCCAGGCCTACAGTTCAGGCCCCACGACCGGACCCAAAAAAAAAAAATTCTAGAATAGTGGATTTAAAAACAAGTATATTCTGAAACACCTATATTCACTTGTCAGTTTGAACTATTAAGACTATTCATGGTGTGCCCAACTCTAGACTGTATGTTGCTCTTTTGTAGATTCTGGTAACACTGAAGACACAAGCACACTAAAGCCTCTCTCCACCCATTCTAGACACACACTTTGATGAAAAAAATTCTACTTCTAATACTTCTATCTCAGGGTGGGTATGTCCCTCTTTTTGTAAAAAGAAAGAATTTCTAAAGACAGCGTTTTATTGCAGAGAAATTTGAAATAGAAAAAACAAGTCACTCTTTTTTAAAAGTATATTATTTTCTTAATAAACTGCTTTACTCTCAATGAAAAAATGAAAAACCAGACACAGTAGCAATGAAATGGCCTGAGTCTATATCACACAGTGTTATGAAGTATGTTTTTCGTTTAGCATGTTTTTAAAGTTCAC